GGCATGTCACAGATGGATCTGGAATAGCCTTTGTTGAAAGAAAATGGCCGCCAGTCAGCCATTTTGAATCCAATCTAAAAAACAAAATGATGTGCAACAAGATCCCATAATGTCCAATCTATTAAATTTGAACAAAATTTGTTCGTATATGACTGAAATCCGGTTCCAAGATTGGCAGAAATGCTTCATTTTGATGAATTTATATCACAAAAATTGTAGCCATCTTGAATCAGATCACAAAAATATTGGACGTGCATATGTATTCCAAGATGTACGATGTATGTTTTTGAAGTTTGAATGTAATCGGTCTAGGCATGTCCAAGATACAGACAGGTGGAGACACCACATAAATGCACACAAGTCAATATAATATTCACATATGAACAATACCATGACTAGGTGTTATGCAAATGAAAATGATTATTATAATTTAAATTGCAAATACTTGCACCAAATCAAATTAACTTGCATTACATAACCTTGATTATAAATTTAAATGTGAATTACACCTAATAGGAGTATTGAATATGTAAATGACCTAATTAACATGCCAAGCATCTAAGTCTAAGCATCTACTCAAAGAATTTCAAATGTCGTTGAAATCCAATCACAAGCAATGGTTGTTGATTTCAAAAGTGGAAATGCCTCAAAGATATGCCTCAGGATATTTAATATAATTGCTCTAATTCCTCAATTTCACCAAGTTCATATAACGGTTAATTCTTTAGTTATGTGATAACAGAAAGCTATACTATGATAAAGAAATAGCAAGACTTACCAGCTGCCCAATAAGTTCAATTTCATATCTCTATCGGTAAAGTCCATATTGAAGGTCCACTACTTATAATATGATAAAGAAATAGCAAGACTTACCAGCTGCCCAATAAGTTCATTTCGTATCTCTATCGGTAAAGTCCATATTGAAGGTCCACTACTTATAATATGAGACACGACACCAGCAGCAAAGTAACTCACTTCTATTTTACTACTGTCTAATAAAAGACTAAGATTTATTACATATAATTAGTTACATATCATAAAGTACACTGATAACTATAATTTTGCTGATGTTCTGTACAAGACTACACAAATCTGATTTACTAGCATCTTCACAACAAATCTGATATCATTTTGTATTCATTGTTCTCTAGTGGGAATTTAACTTACTTAAGTTGTTGAATTAGTTCCTGTTTAATCAATAATGTACGAAGCCTCTTAACTTCAGCAACATTGTTCTACAAGAAAAATTAACACAAGGGTTTAGAGCCATGATTATCAGAGGTATTCAATAAAGGAGGGCATAGCCTGTAACATATTCAATTAAAGAAGCTATACAGTGCCCTACCCAGGAATTTAAACCACTGCGGCAGACTAATTTGCATATAATTTGCATATAATTTACATAATAGAAATTGACCAAAGCACCCACACAATAAACAACATATATTTTCAAAAACAATGTGGCACATATTTATTTGCTTCATACAGTGTTATAAACACTATTCTTTTGTGCACTTTTGTAATATTAATGAGCTCGGTCACAGTGCAAATATTTTTTTATTGGAGTCAAAATATTGCGTTTCACAATTTAGAAGAGTTTGAATTAAAAAATGAAACATTCTCGTAATGCAAATGCTGCAGACTAAAAACAAACAAATAAATTGTAAAAGGTTAAATGAAACTCATTTGAAACGTTTCAGCCAGGAATATGTTCAGGACTTTCTATAACTATTATATTTACAGTAATGAACGAACAAATAAAACTTCCAAACGATCATCAAAGTCATGATGTGACATAACTCACTTTGCGATGTTATACACCGATTATACAATGTACCAATAATTTCTCTTACTCAGTCATGCCGGGCAAAAAATGTTACTTCTTTTTAACGTAAAATATGACTTAGTTTTATCGGGACCAACCATTTTTGATCACTCGATCGCTTTGGTGAAAAACACAGACCGCCATGATGTTTGTGATCCATTAGTTGACCGGCATGTGTCCTTTGACCCGATGGGTCAAAAATATCATTGACCAATCAGAATGCAGCATGGTAATGCTGATAGAACCCAAAGTTTTCCGAATGGTAGTGATCATAAAAATTTCATTGCGAAAGTAAAGCGATGTTGTAGCACGATGTGTTGGTATGGATTTCAGATGAAAAATGCATGATGGTTTTTGAAAGAGGTGATTAGCAATTTTTAAAAGGTAAAGTTAAAGTCTTGAAAGAAGAGTTTTTACATGATTCGCAATGATAAAAGTTCAAATATATTTTACCCAATCAGCAATAAACAGATTGTTTTTCTTGAGTTGCCTAAACTGATCGTGAACTCTGCTTTGCCCATGTTACATCGGGTGGAATTGATTTTGAAAGAATTTTAGCTTTCAATCTAAAGACTGTTTCAATCATCAAAGCATTTAGTTATGAACAAAGAGGTGCTAATTGACTGTATTGTTTAAAGCCATTATCACATCATGCGACTACATCTAATATTTACAAAATATAATTATAATTATCAAGATTTATCTGAGGGCAGGTACATACAGACCACAACAAATAACTCACTGTCCAATACTTTAATATGAAATATTTTAAAGACATACCCTACCACTTCTACTGAAATTATAAAATTGTGATCTTGTTAATGCACTAAATAATGTAGAAAGTGTTATAACTCACCAATAAACCCAGTACCTTAGTTTGAAGATTTTCTTCATCTGGAAAACACTGTTGAGAAAACACAAATTCACTATCACAAATATGAACAATACGGATTGGTCACTTCCATGACCTCTAAAGGTCACACATCCAGGTACTTGATATTCCATCACAAACTCCCAGATATGACTATATGTTTTAGCTACTAGAGTGAAATGATACTGATAACAAAATTCCCCAATTATGCAAGTTTCTCATGTTGTTATAACAACGAAAGTACCAGGATGTATGAACTTTAGGGGTCATGAAAATTGTCTATTTAGGCCAAAAAAAAAAATTGTTTTGTTGCCCTCAGCGACAGACCGAGAAATATGAAATATCGGGTCGCGTTTTTTTTTCTCTCTTAATAGGCCCAAATATTAAAAACTCACCATTTTAAGCAATAAAAAAGTGTTTCCTCTAAAAATTAACGATCCTGGACCATTGTTTTATCCCCAGGGTCCCCAGGGGATAAGTGGTGACTTTGAAGCACGGGTTGATTTGTATTTCTCTGACATGTTCTGAGTACTATGAAGTCCATATACCTTGGCTATGTACGATACCCATAGTTTTCACGAGTAAGTAATTTTCCGACTTGAGGGCAACATAAATTTTTTTTATAGGTATGCATATTAGTAAGTAGAAACACCACATTAATTGTTTGATATAAATTAGTGTACGAGAGTACCAGTACAAACCTCTAGCATTTCCAGGAATATCTCCACTCCCTGTTGTTGGATGAATGTGTAGCAGCTGGATGGGCATTCATCTGTTAAATTCCACAAGGCACTCAGAGTGAATTTCAAGGCATAGTCGATGTGCCTTGCTTCAATCTTTTCCTTTACTATGTCCAGTAATTTCTATTTAGCAATAAAATATGAAAACATTGGAATTTTACAGGTCTATAATAATATACCGGTATATTAAAACAATACAGCTGTACAAGATATATTATTTTACATGTAACACAAACAAAACATTTGAATTTATGCATCTATTAAACGTGTCGACATTTTCGATAGTGGTATGGACACCTTTAAAGCGTGGTGGTCGTCGCGCAGCGCGCGCGTTTGAACTTCATGTAAATAAACAATGTAATTTACACGCATTGTATACGTCGCTATGAGTCCCATATTGAACAGGACTTCTTTCGTAATTCATAATTGTGTGCACTTTTACATAAGGTAAGCACTCATGAAATCAACA